GTTTCCACTTTCGAAAGACCCCATACCGCCAGATAGATGGTGTAGCAATGGGGAATCCATTGGGTCCAGTATTAGCCGATTTCTTCATGTCCATGGTGGAGCTAAAGATGAGTGCAGAAATTTCCCGCCTTTCCTGCTATAAACGCTACGTGGACGATATTTTAGTGTTCTCCTCATCAACAACAGATTACACATCTTGTCGAACTTTTAATAGTGTACGTAAAAAAATTAGAGTAGCCAGTGAAGTAAAATGTAACTGTCTCCCATTTTTGGACGTACTGATTAGTAGAAAGGAAAACGGTCTCATCAAGCGATATGTTTAACGAAAACTGACATGGCTCGGGTAGTAACTGCATTTTACCAGCTTCACTCCAATGTGGTACAAGCGGTATTAGCCAAGACGTTGTTCAATCGCGCAAGAAAAATATGCAGCCCTGCCCTAACTGCCATGAAAAAGAACAGGAGCTGTTGACTAATGCGCTCTTGAAAAACGGTTATCTTCGCCGGTTTATCGCAAAACATAGCCAGACGAGAATGGAAGGTCCCCAGTGTGACCAAAATGAAGATCTTTATAGAACTACCGTTTAAATGTGATTTTGCCACCATGAAGACAGCCAAGCGAATAATTTCCGCTGTTCATAGGAGTTATTATGCTGCCGAAGCTGTCTTTATTAACCGAACCAACAAAGTGCCTGTTCCCCCAAAGAACGAAAGACAAACCTGGCGATGCCATTTCGTACTGCATTTCCCAATTCACTAGTAGCTGCGAGACACGCTATATAGGCCGTACTCAAGTAGGTGCAGCGTGAAATTATCCAGTCTTCCGCTTCGTCTACTACCTGTTCACGAAAGCCACCTGCTTCATCCATAGGTAGACACCTATTGTCTACTTGTCATCCATTCGACCCTACCACACAGTTCACAATCTTGTTGAGACATGCTAACACACGCATCCTACATTTCGCAGAGGCTGTCGCGATCAGCAGGATCAAACCGGCACTCTGTATGCAAAAGCAGTTGTTCATAAGCTTAAAGCTCCCACGGATGTAGAGGTAGCATATCTGTACCCAACCCTGTCTCTATTTTACCCGGTCACACCCTAGCTGTAGATGTATATATTTTCCTGTTATTGTATTGGCACTGAGGAGACAATACGAAATGTTAACATCTGCCAGCTCTCATCTTCTCACAACGTTGTTTAAAATGCTTCAGAAAGATTATGTTTTATCGGTAAGGTTAATAAAGCACATTACTAGATAAAGCGGCTTGTCTAGAGATATTTCAGTTGAATTGATCATTTTTAGTTAGTTTCTTCTAAGGTACTAACTGATCGTTTTCATCCACTTCATAGTGCTCTTGCGGAAACGCTCACTTTCTATTCTACGCGATTGAAATGCAAAATTGTATTATCCCGCATGTCATCGTAGCGCAATACTGTCTTGTATTACATATCACGCTGGCTTGTTGACCTAGTGAAAGTCACAGACAGTTACGCGAGCGCTTGTTAGAGTGAGAGTTGTACATATATTCCACTTTCTCCCCAGATATGCATATTATAATGATATTATCATCCAGTATGTCCACAGTGGTGGTTAAACTGCGGAAAATGAATCCATTAGGGTTCGTAAAGATTATTCTCCAGTAAGTTGACACAACGCAGGCTGCAAACACCAAACTTCGTCGTCTTTAAAAGCGATTAATAGTTGGGAAAACACACCAGATTTAGAAATACAAGAAACAGCCTCTTCGGTGAGATTACCGCCAAGGATGATATGCCTAACGAGATAAGTAAGTAAATCAAGCATGTTGAACCCTATTCCGGCAACAACACATTGTGATTAGAAAGCGCAAAGAGCTTGATAGAGTCCGGAGTTTAAATAGTATCCGAATCCGACCTAAGAACAAATACTACGTCTAATGGCCATTTAATTGCGAGAACATTCGGGCTAAAAGAGGCGGAATGGAACTGGGGGTGGAGTCACTCATGAACCGTAAAATTGAAGCGAAAGAGAGAGAACAAAGTTGATGCAATCCATATGCTGTATTGTAATCTAGAGTTTGCCACAACCTTTGACAACCGAGGTAGGGAGGTTTCGTCGGTACACCCTACAAAAACAAACACTGACACAAGTACAGCGTTAAAGTCAAGAAAGGCTCCCATGATAAGCTGTGTAATATCACGGTATTGCTTAAATACACAGCAAAAAATTATGCTTAGCACTTTCTCTGTCCACAGGGAAGGCAACGTGATTTTCACTGAGTTGCAGACGCAGAATGGTGCATTTCAGCAGTGGAAATCGAAGCCGCGATACTTCTCGAAGGATGTTCTTTGGTGCCTTTAAAGAGGGAAATGACGGTGGACAACCGCTATTCGCAAGACACTTCCTCCTTGTGACAAACTGTCCAACGGAGAAGGCAGTCAATGGTGTGTGACCACTGAACACCAGAAGCAATGGTGGAGGGCAGTCTCGACCAAGTATTCTGTTCCACGTCAGCAACCACAGTTCGTGTCGGAGCTCGCAAATAGTTTTATGTTGGCGTATCACGTGGAATCAGATGATCAAGCAACAGAAGCTGATGCAATGGGTTGTTTTAAAGGTTTTGCAACCTTATCTGATCAGCACTGCAACCGATGTGAACGAAGGTGAATTAGCCATCTGTCTTTCTCAGCCGAGTGAGTGTCATGTGTGTGCGCAACGACGTATAAATGAAAGCCAGGCACATACTCAAATGTGTGGCATCCGTAGCTGGGAGCAATGTAGTTCGTTTGAATCCCAGACATCATTGAGTTCAATGGACGCCAGGTAAATCGATGGGAACGGTTGTGTTGGAAAGCGACGTTTCTGATGCGAAAGGTGTGACAAGCACATAAATGAAGAAGCTGACAACTATTATTTACCAGGTATGCAATCACTCCAAAACGGCCCATAGTCGTTGTTCAAAGTTCGACTTGGGCACTCCTATCGTCAACAACGAGCAGGATGTCCATACTATTCGCCATGCGGATGAAGGTTGCCAATGGAATTTGCTTGGGACATAAGTAGAAGCAAAGGGTGTGCATACCATCAACAGTTTTATGAATAGACATAGAGCCATGCAGAACTACGGATAACGATAGGTAGAATCGCTGTGTCATCATCTTGACATGTTAGCTGAAGATAAACAACACGCATTGGCTATTGTGTCACAGGAAAAACTGAACATGTTCTGTCGTTTTGCACACGCCATTTTTCGTGTATTTGTTCGCATTTTCCAATTGTTAGAAACTAAGCATCAGAATATAAACAAGTATGAGCACAGATCTTCCCCTGGTTCCAATTGTGCGTCATATCCTGAGTTGTTTCCCGTCAACTGCATTCTTCGTGCTTTGGTCCCCAATCAGGCTGGCGTGTGGATCCAACGGCAGCGGGGAGTGGAGTCAATAATTTCCTTTGCTGTCGCCAAATGGAAAGCTGAATACCACGCGGTCGCCATTAGCCCATTCCTCAACGAGCGAATAAAGCGTGGTGCAGCAAACGTTCCCGCACCATGCGTAGGACGTGACCGAACCATCGAAAACGAGGCAGGAAAAGCAGCTAGTTGAAGGGAATACACGCACTCCCTGAGGCATGACGTTTGACTTCACGATTGCAGATACAGTGTTTCTACCCCACATGTGCAACGCTCCTCAAACACCCATTGTGAAGGCCGACAGTCGGCGGATATCACTGACGCAAACTGGCCATGACTTGCTTCCATATAGCAACATCACCCAAACAGATGCATTGTAAACACGACCCTTTATCAAGAAAGAGACATCCCGACGACGTCACAAAGGGCAAATTGTCTGCAAGCGGTGCATACTGATCGAAATCAATGTCTGAAGTCAAATCGCAGGCGTGTGGCTGTTCACCCATTTCCAGTCGACTAGATTGCTTTCAGCATGTTTGCTGAGGATAATACCAACACCAAAACTGCCCAGAACAATGGATTCGTTGTAGCCAAAAACGGGGACAGTACAATCAATGTCGATAGACGCTGAACAAGGTCGTCAAATATTAGGTAAGGAACCATAATCTTGTGTGTGTGTGCTACAGAGGCACAGCACGAACCGATTCTGAGGGGGTAAGGTCGAATTGTCCACATTTTCCCACTATAGTAAGTGATACATCTGCCAGGTGTTAAAAAAGCAGCATCGGTGACTTCCACGCAATTTCGTGAATGAGAGATACAGAGAATGAGCACGCAAGATCTTTAACAACGGCTTGTCTGACATGAAGGGTTCCATACATGACTTGAAGGTACCACCAAGCGTGACACAGTGGATTACAGGGGCATGCGAACCAGTTTGACACGTTAGTCTACAGCCTAACAGCGGCGGATGTAAAGCTGAAGTTGTCAGATTGGTGATGCTAACATTCATAAGGCTAGTTAACGTACTTAGCTTATTTGAATGTGAAGCCCGAGTGTGTGGCGGCTCGATGAAATAAGCATTGAAGAGAAATTCGGAAAAAGAGCGGTGTGGATGAAAAAGGACCCCAGCATATCTACTCCGTAGTCGTAAATTGGAGTAGTTAGTGACCGAAGAGAGTACCGTGCTCTGCGGTTCACAAACGTGACAATAACGCCAGAGGTAATTGTCAGGCAGAGTAAAATTTCCCAGGATAAGAAATTGATTTAATTGGAGAACAAGTTGAGCTAATGGTGTACAACCAAAACATCAAGTGGTTGCATGAATGTTTGCACCAGGAACTTTCAGTTCTACATGACGCACGTAGCCACCTCCCCATTGGCAAGTAGGACAGCTGAGCTAGCTGTTCTGATACGCAAACCTTCCTTGGTTGACAAATAAAAATGTCCGTTGATTTCACATTACTTGTTTCCGTTTCGGTAGCTGATGCTGCAACATGCTTTCGCCTCCAAACGCTGACTTCTGATTTCCGACTGGGATATGGAGCTAGCAGAGAAAGATTTTAATTCAACCGGATTCGCATAAACAGAGAGATGAAAACCATACTTACAGTGATTTTACTGCTCCCCGCATCATCCTGGCTTGAACTCTTTTGCTCAAACGCAACCGGTACCTTCCACACTTACGCTTCCGCAACCTCAGACGTCTGACAGTGAAGAGAGGAGAGATCGGCTTTGCGGTTTTCGGCGCTGAAACGAAAGGATAGGTAGAAATGTTAGACACTGATATGAAGTTAGACAGTTAGAAATAATAGATCAAGCCTATCTTTGAGGTAGTAAATACAGGCAGATAAGTGGCTAATCGGCATTATCAAGGATTCGTGTCAGTTTAGATTGCCATAAAAACGGCAACTTAAACTCCACGGTGACCACCAGTCGTCATTGTACTTGAATGCTACCACCAAGAGGGACTGGTCATGAATTTGCTGGAGAACATCAATCAGCTACATTACTACACAATTAATTGCGAACAGTAAGAGCAAGAGTCTAGGCGTGTTGCCCAAGCAAGTAGGGAGGGAAGCCAGAATATATGTAAGAGGGTATAAGGTAGGAATGAAAGTGACAGGAGTTTTATTAGTGAATCGATGCAGGGCAGCTTCAAAAGTCGGTTAAGCATAGGTCTTGGCACTGCTCTAAGCTCTCGGGTTAAGGCTTTTTTGACCGACTGGAGCCCAGCCAACAGCCGGATGTGCACCTTCAGATTGGCTGGCTCCCTCGAAGCTTAGAAGTCGAGCGGGGACATACGGTGTCCGTATACCACTAACCGTAGCCTGGGCCCCCACAAGGTGTAGCGCTGATTCGGTGAACGATGAATCGTATCACCAAATGAGCGAGCTCCTTCGTTACAAAAAGGTACGGATATTGTAGTGTTGGATGGTGATATGAACTGTCAGCCAGATGCCTGGTTCAAGTGACTGACATACTGAAAATGGCTCCCAGCTGGTTCAGCGACTGTGCCAAAAATGAAACTTAATGAGATTAAAAAGGTCAGTATGATGCACATTCCGATAGAAGTTACTCACATTCTAAACGAGAGAATCCATGGTATGTGAATTTGAGTCCATGAAATATCAGTGATCAAATGTTAACGAGGCGGAGACATGGAAGACAGCTAGGTAGAGATGGTAATAAACCGGTAGTCGAATTAAAGGCTAGGAGCTGAGAGTGTACGAGTCATATCGCAATATGTAATTTCGGCTGACCCTACTTGAAGATGGGCAAGACAGTTGACGGTCGACAATAGGAAGAAGCCTCCTCCCTGTTCTAAATCGTGTTAAATAGAGTAAGGAGTCTAGTCAACATAGGGTCACCATTGTTGCATCCCAATACGCTCACTAGGGCCCTGCGCAAGCAGAGTCTTGAGTCACCACGGGCGGAACGCACCAAGGAAAACAGAATACGGGGCAGACACGTTCTGAACACTGTTCATACCAGTGAATCAGGTAAGGCGCAGGCGTAATGACCTTGATATAATTCCATCGATGAGGCTCATGCATTAATTTGAAGGCTGCGGTACTGGAATTTGTAGTAGGCGCTACCACATCATCTCCCCCTAAATCAGAGCATCAGCATGAGTGACAATTGAGCTGTTGGGCCCCCTGCTTTGAACCTCATTCCTGGACATTGACTCTGCGTTCAGTTGAAGGGCTGAGTAAAGCCGTCTGGCGTCAAGATGGCGGCCGTCGGCAAGCTCGTACATCTCTGACGTATGGTCCGAGTAATTCTGATTAAGCGCGATAATGCTGGCTACCATTTAGGTGTCTACCTTTCCTTTAGCCGGGCTAACTTTTCGGGACGCAACGGTATGGAGTGCTTTTCGTAAGAGGAATGATAACGTCGGCGACGCTACCGTTGGTGGGGATTGCTGTTTTCCGTAGTTGAAAAATATGCGTCTAATTTCGTGCGTAGCTTCCTGTCGAACATTAGTTTTGCTGGCGTGCGACCAGTCGCTCTCTGGTGCGACATTCAGTGGGTAAACAGAACCTCGATTACTGCGTCTTCCCAATGCATGGCGGACAAACGTGCTGTCTGTATGCTTTCCATTAGCCAGCGAGTTGTGCGCTCAAATCATTTCGTTGGCAGCTGGATTGTATGGGACAGTTCATACGTGTTTCACATCGTGAAGTTGTAGGAAATGTCGAAAGGCGTAGTTTGTGAATTGCGGTCCGATGTCCGTCACAATTTCTTCGGGAAGCCCAAGTCTAGCAAACAGAGGCTTCAGCCACTCTATAACGGTTGATCACATCGCCACAAAGGTAAATCTTAGGACACTTAATGTAAAAGCACGCGGCAACTAAACAGTTTCGCTAGTGATGCGGTGCAGAATGGAATGATCCCATGACATCAATCGCCACCTTCAACCAAGGTTTCATTGGATAAACGGTAACTTGGATGGGTGTATCGATCGACTTAGAGCTCTTGTCGGCGTTCTGACACGCATCGCAAGACCGGACACACGCCCCTGCCATTTTAGGCCACCAAAAGTGTTCTTGCGGTCGGCGCTTCGTTCGTAGGATACCCGGATGTCCCTCGTGTGCATATTTGGCGTTAGACTCTGTGGAGCCACGAATCTCGAACCTCGCATAAGGCAACCATCAATGACCGTTAACTCGTGTTGTAAAACATAAAACGCCCGTAGTTCACCACTGAGCTTCGTGTAGCACGGCCAGCCTTTAGGGAGATAGCGGAAAACGGCTTGTACATTTGGGTCGCTTTGATTAGCTTCCTGAAACTCTTGCCTAGTTACGGCGGAAAGCTCACGTGAATGTAAAGCGGAAACCATGACCTTTTCTTCATCGTCCTCATTCTTATCAGAATCGTCCAACGTCAAATGAGATAAGCTATGTGCCATATGGATTTCGGTGGTAGAGCAGAATGTGATTTTCAAATCAGAGTTCAGTAAATGCGCATACCAGCGGGTATTCCGCAGGGCCTTGTGACAATTGGTTCCTCGACTAAGGAGGGGAGTTATAGCACCGTGATCTGTACGCAATGTAAACCTGCGAACAAACAGAAATAAGTGCAATTTTTCACAGGCCCAGACACAGGCAAGGGCTTCCCTTTCACCGGCGGAGTATGTAACCTCTGTAGGGGATAATTTTCTAGAGGCATATACAATCACTTTTTCCTCTTCGCTATGCATCTGCGGACAGGACCGCTCTTAAACCGACGTTTGACGCATCCGTCAAGACGAACGCAGGACATTTTTCACTGAAAATTGCCAGCATTGGTGTAGAGACGAGGAGTCCTTTAATTTCTTCAAAGGTAGACTGCTGTTCGGAGCCCCAGTCGAAGGTGGTATTTTCCTCTGTCAGTAGCTGACTAGCCGAACAACCTCCTCGTGGTGCCAGCTGTGATTCGTGTGTAATCCGTTCCAGCAAACAGTTCGGTGGCAGGTGGTGGGTTGTCGCCCGGCAAGCGTTCTCCCTATAAAAAGCCACAAATGTCCGTTTATCAACACTATGACGCGACGAATGTGATCCCCGCGACAAATTAAAGTCACTGCCAAGTGGATATCTGGATAATTACACCCAATCCAACGACATCAATCGTCTATTCTTACATAGCCGACGCTGCCAAACAGTCACAAATATAACAGATACAACACAAACGCCAAAGCTACACCGATGCACAGTTACATACACATCTATGCACACATTCACTGTTATGACAAGCATGTTGTATTCTTGTACGATTTTGTTCACATTTTGTTATCATAACATGATCATGCCTGTAAAGGCGTGTCTCGCGTTGCCGAGAATAAAAAAGTTTATCTTATTTTTATTGTATTCTCAGATGCTCTGCTAGGGTAGCAAAATCGAGCAAATAGCGTAAATTGTACGAACATAGACGGAGAAAATGCTTAACCTCAGATGCATTCTTAGGTATGAGGGCTTCTGTGATAGCCTGGGTATTAGCGGTGCATGGTCGGATTCCACCAAAAGATAGGATGAACCCAATGAATTCGACTTCAGCAGCACAAAATGTACACTTTTCAAGATTAAGCCGAAGATATCGCCTTTCCAACCGCGCCGCAATACAAAAGATAAGAAAAGGAAAACAAACTGTAGCACGCCCGCTGAGTCCCAAGTAACGGGTGGACATCGTTCCGGAGAGCTAAGAGCCGAGTACCGTGTCGCAAAAACTTATAATATGCCTAACGAGTGAGATCGTGATTGGAGGGGGATGCTAAGCAAGAGGTGATGGACAAAGGAACTCACAACACAAACGCCACTGAAGCCGGCTCCTAGTCATGCCAGTGTGTCCAACCAAACGTGTTCATCGTCCTTCGGACCCCAGCCAGGCAGTCGGGATGTACCGACCGACGCCAACTTCGAAGTGAGGGTTTTCATTTCTCTCGACCAAGTCATCGCTTGGCCTCCCCTTCTCCTCCTCCAATCACACACACGGCGCGCAAACAATACACGTCGCGGAAGTCGGTGTGCTGACATGCGCAACACGTGACCCATCCATCGGTGCCTGGTGCGTGACATAATGGTGGTGAGTGGTTCACTCGCTCTTCCTGCACCAAATACGCCACGCCGAACACGCTCATTGCTCGCGCGGTGCTACCACCAGACATTAGACAAACTGCGAAAGCAGTGAGGATCGAATGTGACCAGCTTCTTTATGTCTGTCGACCAGATGGGCCAGGTTTCACAACCATATAGGAGAGTTGAACGGACGGCTACGTTATAAACTCTGCCCTTCAGGACGAGAGTAATGTAGCGTCTGCTCTATATGTGGAGAACACTGGGAAAAGCACCTCGAGCTTTTGTTGTACGGTCCGTAAACTTATCTTCGATTCCACAGGCACTAATATAACTGCCCAATTAGTTGAACTCCCGAACGACTTCTAGCAGGTCACCACAATGTGTTAGCGCAAAGGTGGGTCTCTGCCAATCTTGGAGACGTACTTCGCATTTTGATGGAGCAAAGCATAGCCCAAAACGATAGACAGTCAGTGCTAATCGGTCCAATGCTGCCTGGGAGCTGACACGGATAAGTGCAATATCGCCCGCATACTCCAAGTTAGAAAGTCGCTCACCAGGAAGTAGCTCCACACCTTCTAGGTCGTGTCCAGCGAATGTTGTTTCCATGACTTTGTCAACTGCGAAGATAAATAGAGGTGACAACGGGTAACATTTTCTCACACCGCTGGTGATACTGAAGGGTGGCGACAGTTTGTC